TATTATTAGTCAGACTATGATTTTTATTTCAAATTGTATTGAGAAAATTGTTTAACAATTGTATGACGTTGTGGAAACAACAACTTCTTCTTCTTCTTCACGCAAAAGTCTTTACTTATTATTGGTTACTACACTGAAAAGGCTGAGATTACAATGAAACCCGAACATGAATGTGGGAAAAGTTTTTTAGTCGTTTCTCGGCGCAATAGTTTCGTCTGACTTCGGATGACTTTTAGCCGAATCGTATATCCTATCCTTAGTGGGTAATGTATGGTTGCAATCAATTAAGTCTCGAATTAAAAAAATCCCCCTAGACGATAATCAAGATCCCTCTTAATGCGAACAATTCGATTTTTATATCAAGTGAAGCAAAATAAAATGTTGATATTAACACGTACGCGGACAATGCAAATACAAGTTACCAGTGACGTCCATAAATTGAGAGGCAATTTATTTTAAAATTGGTTGTAGTATTGAAGGAAAGTTTGATTAAACAATTTTTTACCGATAATCATAAGATCAGTTACAAGATTTTGTTTTACATTTTGCAACTGGGATGACGTAAATGCTATAGGATTCATATTAGAAAAAACGTAGTAGAAAAAAAGGACAATGAGAGAATTTGCTCTCTTCTAGTGTAAAGAAATCTACGAACCTAACGGCGTTCTTGAATAGAAAATACGATGCTGAAGTATGGTATACATATTTCTTGATCGCAAGTTGAAAAAATGGACATGATCTGTTTACAGACACGGCTACAATGCAGAAGAAACTAACGGAACTTTGGAAAATTTTAACAAAGTTTTCATATATTATCCGTCTATAAGTTCCGATATATGGTGATACTTTCGAAAATCTGCAATCCGGATGTTCATTATTAAGATCACTTGATGATGTTTAGTCCAAAAGTGCTTTCAATTGTTTTAATAACACATTGACAGTTAACGATAAAATCCAATCCAACCGTGCATCAGAATAAATGAGAAAAAAGTTGGATTTAAAATTTTCATTTAATTATGTCCACTGTCCGGAAATTTGTATATCATTATCTATCGAAAATTTGATACCGGCATTTGTGACTCGTTTAATAGACATGAAGAATTTCTCTTACATACATTTTTGAAAAATATAGAACTTTGTACCTAAGTTCTAAGTAAGGAAGTTCTTCCTGTCAATCGACCTACTACTGAATGGCAATTGCCGATCTTGTTCTTTTAGGTATTCCTTAATAAAAAAGTTCAATTCTTATTAATTAAATAACCAAAGAATTCCTAATGTTTATAGTGGTCCTTAAGGCCTTGTTACACCAAATGCTTTTTTTGTACCTGATTTAATTATGTATTAAAATCAATTCTAATCGATTTTGAGAAGAAAATTTATATATGTATATATAAATACTAGTAATGCAAATCAATGACGTCATTAGCATAAATCGTCTACTTTTTCGTAAACAACAATTTTTCTTTAAGGCAAATAATGAGTGAAAGAAAAATATCGTTAAGCAACTAAATCCGCAACCGGATGTATATCAGGACATCCTAAATTCATTAAATAGCGTCAAGAGCGTAGATCTTAAAACTGCTCATCTATGCTCAAGTGCGATTATGGCGTGTTTGCTTTTAAACATTGCCCTGGTGTTGTTCATGGACTCGCAAACGCTGTAAACTGCAAAAGCATTTACACATGACGTTAAAGTATTTTAATGAAAGCATCTTTTTTCGACTCGCCTCACACACATACCATTACATTAGATTACGCTACGGAATACAGCTACGAATCATAACTGTCGAGATATGTCCGTTAGGACTTGTATCGTAATCATGTGTGAAGTGTTCGGGTTAGGGAGGATCGTGAAAAATGTCTTGCAGATTTTAGACAGAAAAAATCGAGAAAATTCGCAACTTTTTTCATGAACTAGGCCATGAGTAGGCTGAGACTAAATATACACAATAGCAAACGAAAAATTATTTCGACACAGCTTTAACTTTCGAGCACGCCCACTTTTTAAATTTTCAACGTCAATCTCTAACTCTCTATTGCAAGATTTGCGATAGTTTTGAAAACTACGAGGATAAAAAGGCAGACAAACGGTTACGATTAAATTGCGATTGTTGAGCATTTATCCGGTAATGAGTATAAATATGTCTTGCTTCTCACTTTCCAAGCAGTCGTTATGTTTTCAAAATCGTCAAATACACAGGAAAATTGTCTAAGACATAGTTCAAGTCTGATTACTTCACTTGCAAAGTTCGCAGTATGCCATACGTTGTGTATGGATGCATGCGATCGCATGAAGATTTACTTAATAATACTTGGCAAAATTCGAGCTTTCTTGTGTACTTTTACAATTTTTGCTCCCTTCTTTTTATAGCTCAGATCAGTTAGTCAGTTGCAGTTGCCAAGTTAGTAGGAACCGTTTAAAAGTCAGAAAGGATATTAAGGCCGCAAAGAGATTAAGAATTTTGGTTTGATTCATATACGTATCTAATATTATCACGATACTCTCTACCAATTTCTATCATTGTCCTGCTAGCAGCAGTAGTATTGAAATCATCAAATTGATCTTCGAATCGAATTGAATCTAATGCTTTTACATAGTGATCTTGGACTGAATATAATAAATTCCGTTTCTTTTTTTTTTTCTTCTTCTTCTTCTTTTTTTAGCTCTTAAATATTTTAACACTTGATTAGAAAATATGTTCTGCAATTCTTATGCAATTCTTCATATTGCACTCTCTTATTCAATTTTATATCTCTTAAGTTTAATTAAACTTAATATTTATACATAATTATTATTAAAATTTATATAATTTATTATAAAGAAACATACATTTGTAAATATATACGCAATAATGTTAAAGCAGATTTGGTTCTACACCATCCTTTTAAGCTTCCAATAGATTTTGTGCTTGAAGGCAAACAATAACCGAAGCAAGTAAGAAAAGTCAAATTATGTTTGCCATTTTTTTTTTTTTTTTTTTTTTTTTTTTTTGTCATCTAGGGTTTAAGGTTTATATCAAAGACCGTAGAATTGAAAATGTCCATAATTGGATATTTCCATTTATATAACATAGGCCGTAAATCAATTAGGGCTCTCTGATCTATGAGAAGCAAAATTTAAAATCGCGATCAATATGCACAGTTTTAGGAACTTGAATGAAATCACTAACCATACAATAAAGTAAAGGTGCGAAGCTAATCTGTTACCGGTACTCGTTTATTCACCAAGAAATTATTCTAGAAGTAGATGTTTTTTTGAAAGTATTATGTCGTCCCTTACTACCAATTATATATATTCCCCTTACCCCAATGCAAATGAATGAATTCGATATTGACATGGAATTGGGATTTTCGCGGTTAGCTATATATATATATATATATATATATATATATAACGATCGATTTCGGGTATTATTGATTATAAGAATCGAAGCCTTCCTCGAATAAGGGAAATCAGTCTAATGAATGCAAGGGGAAGAGTGAGTAATAAATTTCAATTCAATCAATTTTGCTAACGTTTTTAAAGCTGGAAAATCTTCATATATAGGACCGGGTGACATTATGAAGCGAAATCACAATGTTAAGGTCATTGGCATATTGTGATCTCTTTTTTTTATCGTCTCAGTTACTACTCGCAGCGTTGTTTCTTTTCAATGGAGCAAATTGTAATGCACTCGTTTATCCAGTGTGTTTGTGTCGCGATAACAATATAAACTGTAATAATATTTTTAGGAAATTAGAAACTCAAGAGAACATTTCTATCCACATATACATGTAAATATACATACTATACGTATTATGTTGCCAAGGCATTGCCTATTTTCAATATTATAGCGCGCTGGGCGTACAGTTTTAAGATCAATGATTCAAAATGAATTTCATGGATGGAAGTTCTATGTCACGTTTGAAAATCGAATTGAAAGAAGTAACAAGGTTTCGCCCAAGAACTATAAGGCAGAGCGAAAGAAAGAAATTAAAAACGTTATAGTTAGACATGGGCAACCATTAACTACGCTACACCGCATTGCTTAATCGGGACGGACGTGTGAGAAGAAATGGTCCATTTTGGGCATTCGTCCTTGGGCGGAAATTTCATCGAATTAACTCCGAAAATTGCGAACCTTTAGGTTGAACATAAGAATATAAGACGGACAGACACAGATAGGCGGATGGATGGATGGGCGGACAGACAAGCTTAAATCTGATTCTGAATGATTCGATATAATAAAAGGCAATTCTATCTCAAATCCCCTTTGCGTCCACACAGATTTAATCGATCGTAATGCACCATAAGTGTCGTACGGTGTAAATCAATTTGTTGTTATTGTCCTTAGGGATGCAAAAATTGATTTGAAAATTTACCAATCTTCGCCTTGTATTCGTGATTGATGTGCGCAGCTGAAGTAATGCACTAAAAATGACTCTAAAAACTACATAGCTTAAAAAAAAGCACATTCACTATAGCTGCTTATTAATAATAGCAATAGCTTAATACACATATTGAAAATGATATCAATCGGTTCGCTCAATTTGATATTAAATTGATTGGATTTAGTCAATATATTAAACATTCAATGCAATACGAGTTTAACTTTATTTTTAATTCGATATGGCTTTCCCATGTTTTTAGGTTTTTCGGGCTCAAGCGTTCACTAGATTATAAAGGAAAGTAGATAAATTATGACTTTTAGTAGTTATTTGTTCTAACTTCTTCTTTTACTCAATAGTTTCATTTTTTTTATATGATATTTATGAATTAATGCAAATTCTATATAGTTTTCTTTAAAGTGTACTTTCTGAGTACACTTGTTACGTTAGTACAATGTCCTCCATTTATCTTTTTTTTGATGCTTCGCGTCAACAAGAAAATAAACTTTGAAAAAAACAAAAAAGAAAAAAAAAAAAAAAAAAGAAAAGAAAAAAATTCGTGATTCGTTGTTGTTCTTTGGTTGGTGTTTTATGTTATATTTTTGTTTTCTTTTGTTTTGTTTTGGTTTGTGTTTTTTTTTTTTTTTTTTTCATTATTTTGGTTAGGATTTATGTTAACTTATTTCCTTTTGTTTTGCTTGCTAGAAACCACGACTTCGTCTCACTTTCCTTTCCTAAATAGATTATCGAATTTATATTTAATTTTTTTTTTGCATTTTTAGTACTTTTGTTGTTGTTTTACTTTCTCTCTATTTAAATATTTTGTCCGTTATATGAGGAAGCATCACTAATCCGACGACTTAAGGTCGATTTACGATTTAATGTGGTTGAATTTAAATTATTAGGACGTTGCAATGTACTATTGGTACTGGTGTTAATACTGGTGTTGGTGTTGTTATTGATTTGTTGACTGCGGGTATTTATTGGATAATAATTCAATGGTGCAATATTTGGATTATCGATGCGTGTTGGTGACGAGACATGAGGTCTTGGCGATGATCTCTGTATAGAGCCTATAACTTCTTGGGGCTCTTGATAACCGGAATCCATGTCATCGTGATATGAATCCATTAAAGGCGTTGGATCTTCATAATCATAATCGGTAAAGCCATTGTTGTCGAAAGACTGAACGCATGCGAAATGAGGAAAATATTTTATAAAACGTAAACAGTACAAAATATCAATTGGACAAGTGTGAAACTACTACGGATTCTTAACCTAATCAAATAATTAATGCTTTAAAGATGTAACGCTGGCCTTGATCATCAATCATAAATGAAACCATTGGGTATTCTTGTTGTAGTTGTATTCGTTTCTTATCCAATATCGGTATTCGAAAGTAATAGCCATAAAGAAAACGCTGCGATATGAATTTTATTATAAAAGAGTCCCGAAAGTCATACAAAAAAAAAAAATTCCCTTATGACTTGTGATGTCTTTGTTATGTTGCTCAGAATGCGGCTGTAATTTGCTTATGCGTTAATACAATTTTCATCTTCTTACATAGTTCGCAACATTACATTCCATTACGCAAATTTTATTTGAGTAAAAAAGTTTAAAACAACTTATGTTATCCATGGTCACCTAACTAGGAAATGCACACTGAAATTTCGGTGTTTAAGATCCATTTTAGTTAAAGGCTAATGGAAAGATTCTTGATCACACTTGATAGTTGAGAGCTAACAATTCGCCAAAGTCTAGCGAAACTAGTAAGTGTTTAGCAGGCGGAACGCAATACAATCGTAAGGCATACAGCGTTACAACGCTTGGTAAAAATGCATTATACCCCAAATCCCCGAAATATTGCTATAATAAATATTCTTTGCTCTAAGATGAAAATAAAAAACACAAAACTGAAATCTCACTTCTTTCATTTTCACTTTATATGGAATTTGTGCTTATTTTTCTTAAGCAAAAAGCTTCAATTGACCGATTTTTTTATACCCATCACCAAAGAGCGAGATTTGTATTGATTTTGTCAAAACGTTTGCAACGCCCAGAAGGACTCTTCAGAAACCCCTCCAAGTATTCATAAATAATATTTATACATAAATATTTATATATTCTCGATTTAAACATGTCCGTCTGTCAAACTGCCTGTTTGTCCGTTTGTGTAATGTCCGTTATAATGACATAGTCTACTATTAAATGCGATACAACATTTCGCTTAATATCGATATTCATTCAACGACTTTTCAAAATAGTGCGTTACATAAGAAATCGTTCGATTCGAAACATATTCAATAGCGTTCGTCCTTACGCTAAAACGTATAAATGTATCGAATTTCATCAGAATATGTTAAAAATTGCTACCTGTAGGTTGAACAGATGAAAGCAAGACGGACGAACGGACAGACAAGCTTAGCTATAACAAAAGATGAATCAAACCCAAATCCTGCTGCACATCATCACAAACTTAACATACACTTGTATCACAAGCGGTATAGAATATAAAAACGTAGCGGTGCATTAAAAATCATCATTGATGAGTTTAAAAAGAAGAAGAAAGCAAACACTTTTAAATATTAAAGGGAAATGTTAAATTAAAAGACTGGCATTTGGGTACGATTCTCGTCTTAATTTCAATAATGAACTAACTACGCGTTCAGAACGATATGTATATACATAGTATTGTTGTTGATTCAAAAGGAAATGAATAGATATTTGCGAATATTGTGCATAGAAAACTTACCTTAATCGGTGTACGCTTGACATAATCGCGAAAATTTTGATTTTGGGATTTAGCGCGATAATCAACGACTTCATAATGACCTGGAGTAACTTCTTGAGTTCCAAAGCCTGGATAATCCGATATAAAATGACGCGTACCATGCGGAGTTAACGTGGCCCATAATAAGCGACTATCATTAGCCAATTGACTTTGCAAGGTATCACGACCGTTAACGGAAGTACAAGGATAAAGAATACCGCCAGCGAGAAAAGGATTTGATTTTGATGGTTCACCCAAAGCGGACATTGTGCCCTGTTTGATGTTACTATCATGATATGATATATTGCAACTGGAAAATAAAGTGCTAAAACAAGAGAGAGAAAGAGAGAGAGAGAGAGAGAAAGAGAGAGAGAGAGAGAGAGAAGTTGATTATTAAACATAAAAGAATGAGAAAAGTGTGTGTGTGTTTGTGTTTTTGTGTTTGTGTGTAATACTTACTCGCGACACTTAAGCAAAATGATGGCTAATAGACCGCCCAAAATTAAAACACCTACGCAGGAGGTAATTAATACAAAAATCCATGTATTCTCTAAGCCGCCGTCATGAGAACCGATTAGTTCGACAAATTCCATGCCACTTTCACGTGGATGGGGATTTGGATCGCACATAAAAGTCGCGAAACACGGATGCGAATCGTTTGTTGAGGCCGCCATAACCGATGTTTTTGGTAATAAAAACGATGGCAATGGCGGTGGTGGCATCGATAATATAGAGTCGGGTGGTGGTGGTCCACTTAGACCGCAATTACCAACACAACTTGCCAACATTGTAATGCTGCTAATAACAGTCGTCTGCAAAATATAAAAAGAAAAAAAAAAAACATCATTCAATTAAATTACGTTCGATTAGTATGTATTCGGAGAAAAATTAAAATTCTTAGTAAGGCAAGGCGAGGCATTGCAGGATTGGCATTGCGTGTCTAAAATTGAATTTCAAACAACTACAAACGCAAGCATAAAGGTATACACAATAACTAATAATTGTTTTGTCTACAAAATTTCATGCTTCTTAAGTCAACATTCAACGGTTAGATGTGCGCTTGTATTTGTATATACAAAATGCTTATGCTATCCCATAATCACATAAAACGCAATGAGATTTTTTTTTTCTTTTGTTTTTAAAATTTTAATTTAATTTAACTAAAGTAAATAAAAGAAATTTTTTTTATATATTTTCTTTTATTTTTTTCCCTTTTTTTTCTATTTTTTTTATTTTTTTTTGATTTTCACAAACTATTTAAACTATAATCAATCCATCAATCAATCAATCAATCAGTCATTCACTTACCAATAGGAATATATAGTGATAGCTCTATATATATAGTTAGATATATGCATGTATGTATATGTATATATATGTATGAATATATACTTGTAGAAAATGTAATTTTTAACTAAAGGAATTTTCCGTTATGCGTTATGTAAAACGATACCAATTTCTGTTGCGGTTGAAAATGAACTGAATTCATGGACAAAAGGAAATTCTGTTCACAAAGCAAACGAATTAACGGTGAAAAGGATAATAGAAGAGAGGTTAAGGAAATAAAAAATAAAAAAAATAAAAAGAGAGAATGATGTAGAGAGAAAGAGAAAGCGTCAATATAAACGGAAACGGAACTATTGTATGAAATTATTTGCTTTTCTTGTTTTTTTTTTTCAAATTTATTTAAAAATTAATATAAAAAAAAAGCAGTAAAGTTTTTCATTTTTTAAATTTTTTTTTTTTTTTTTTTTTTTTTTTTTTACAATCCACTTACTTCCTAATAGTTACTAATAATTTCATAAGTTTAATGCGCATGTTTCTCTCAGATTTCATTCATTCTCTCTTTTTATAATCTAATCATAGATATTCTTTTATCCTTTTCGACTCGCGGCTCTCTTCTTCAATTCGAGGGTATAATTTGGGTGACACACATGTTTTCCATTATCAAATCTATCCTTAACATTCAACAAGAATTGTTTTTTTAAAAAAAAAAAAAAAAAAATTCATTTTTTGATTCTATTTTGTTTTATGTTTGTCCTGCGCCTTTTCTTCTTCTTCTATTTTGATTTATTATTATTTAGTTTGAACGAAAAAAAAAAAAAAAGAACATCTACGCCTTTGTCACGCAATCTTTACAGTCCATTGACTGTTTTGTGATAACAAGTTTTGCACTTCCTGCACACCTATGCCATGTTAGATACGTTTATTGTATATATGTGTATGTATATATTTATGTACGCATTCGTGGGCTTACATATGTATTTGCTTCACTCCCATTTTTCTTTAATTTGCTATTAAACTTTAATAAAATTATTTCTATATAATCTATTATACAATGAAGCTCCGATACCCTTCGCATTAAGGTATGTATGTACATATATATATATGTATAGGATATATAGGAATATCTATGTTGTCACTTCCATTTCAGAAGGGTCAGTAGGAGATACGAAATTATTAACGAGCGCAAGTACTTTGAAACTTTCGATTTTCTAGCAAAGTATAAGATATACCGGAAGGATAAGTAAAAAAAGCCGACTATTCGATACCCTGCAGCAAAATGAATTTATTCATTTTCATGAAAAAATACCAAGAGCGTACTTTTTATGAGAGGCCTTATATGGAACAAGGCGGGGAACATTAAGTTGTCAAGGTAATCTTCTTACTGAAGTTATTATTATGATTCGATTATTTTCGTAATAAATTAAAAAAGAATTTGAGACCATGTTATCATACAACGACTTCACATATTTTTACAATTGATTTTTAGGTCAAATTGCTATTATAGCTCAATTTCCATTGTGAATTATGGAAAAATTTTGAATGCTTTATTACTATATAAAGACTTACCTTTTGTATTGTATTGAAAACATCGGACCCATTCAATATAAAATTCTTATATCAATTGTGAAAATATATACCATTACTTATCGATTTTTTCGAAAAATTTTGAAAATTGCAATTTTTTCTTTTTTCCTTTTCATATAACAAGTTTTTCAAAATAAGTCATTATATGGACAGCGGTTGTGAATATGATTCAATTTAATCCTTTTTCGATAAGATTCGTATCCCCATTAAAGCACATTAGTATACCCGATTTGGTCGAAATATTTCAAAAATTACGAAATACATGCACAGAGATCACACGGACAGATGAACAGACAATCGATTCATATAATAAAAGATGAATGCACCTTAACTCCCTCGGTATATTATATACATCTACACAAATTTAATATACACTGTATATCATAAATAGTCGAACGTTTTTATTTACAAAAAAACACAACGAGCTTCCGCAATTAGTTGTTTTTCTCCGATTGCGTTTCAAAACGACACAACTTTAGCTCCTGAATAGTTTAACAGAAAAATTAGCATTTAAAAAAAAATAATAATAAGTGTGAATATTATATCCGCCTATGCCGAATCATCAACTTTTATGTCAGACTTAAGGCTCGACTCGAATAGAAAGCGTCTTCGAAGCGCTGGTGGACTCAGAGGATGATAATATATATTAATGTTTTAAAGTGTAATATACATTAATATTAAAAACAATTCTTTTCTTCTTCTTCTTCTTCTATGTCATATATGCTAAAAATTAGATCTTTGTAGTACATTCTGAAATTTGAGGTGCGAACACATGGGCGTCCATGGAAAAATCATTGCTGAGAAAATTGCATCTTCGAGAACAATGAAGGCCGATAATCGAACTTTAAAATCGTGCATAACACAAAAGCCTTTGGCGATCAATAAGAAGTTAGGCCATGGCTCAGTTTTTTCCATCTCGGCCGGTGACCGGTCAACGACACAAAATTGCGGTCACCGTTTACACAAAATCAATCCTCTTCCGAATTTTGTCGCAAATTTTCCTCATTTGGTCTTGCTAGTCTCACTCAGTTTTCAAATATTTGTATTTTCCAGAGAGAAAATTTCTCCTTCTTGTTCTTGTTCTTCTATAATTCAGTAAATCAACAACAGAAGATTCATTCATTATGCTTGGCAAAGAAAAAAATTCAATGCGAACATGAATTGGTTTGTTTGTACCTCAATAAAGTCGACGATTAACTCGATTGTATATTTATATATATTCGAGAAGTGATCTTTTCCAAGTTTTCCAAGTTTTATTCTTTTAATTTCACCACGTCTTGGCATTAATGTGTTCTAGGATGATGTTGATTTCTCAAATGATTTTGAGACGATGTAGCGCATGAGAGGATGATGTCGTAGTGTGAGATGTGGGAGAGTACATTTGTACGCATAAAAGTGTCTTATCCGCAAATCTACAATGAAATTCAATATGAAACGTGCGCACACACACACACACACACACAATGCATATGACACAATTTTCATTGACTACTTTGGAAAGGGTGGAATGATAATAATCGGCAGAACAAAAAAAAAAAAAAAAAAGTGAATAAATAAACAAAAAGGAAAAAAAATTATTCCCATTCTCGTCATTATAACAACGCAGGTGGCTTATTCATCAAACTTTGCGCCAGCAAACTTATGTGGATAGTGGGATAAGAATGGCGTTTGTAGCCACTATATCCCATAGATTTACCTCTCAGAGACTATTATCTGTTTTTAAAGTCAAAAAAAAAAAAAAAATGGCCGCCTGATAAGGATCTTACATCCAACCACGAAAAGATCGAAAGGTCTTAAGAGAATTTGAACTGCTGCTTGACATATCGTATCATTTGAAAAATCGCTAAACTCTATGCACTGTCACGTTTCCCGTATCATACCTCGCCTGGATCACGCACTTGCTATTTGTCTTCTCTATTGCAAACTCGCCTCAAATTTGTTCACAATCTCAAGCATTGCGGCCTCTTAAAAAAAACATTTATAAATTTTACATATGATATAATATGCTTAGCATACCGTCAAATATTAAATGTATATAAAAAAAACGAATTTATATCAGCATGACTTGTATCAAAGCAATGCGCTAGCGAAGGAGCAAATGCGTTTTTCACATCATTTGACCCGCATGCACATAACAAACAACGTTGCCCTTGGAAAAGGCGCTATATAAATTAACATAAAAATCATGTTCTTGTAAATCCAATAGACAAACTTTGTTACATTATTACAACATTATATTCAAAGTTATTTAAATAATCTCTGCTGAGCAAACCTTAATTACGGATCATCTCTTGGGTTTCTTTTACTGGAGACGAACGCACATAAGCGACCATTTATTATCTTCAAGATTCACTATTATTTGGACAAAAACTCGCCAATCACTTTCTAATTGTTTCATAGATTACCCTGCGCTTACCCTATCTCATCTCCAAGCCAACTTAAGCATTTTCGTAGCTTCAATCGAATTTTTTCCCCTTCAAAAGAGAATAAAATGCAATGTTGCAAGAGACATCCATCTCGCTGCCTCTACTTTGACACTGAGCTGCAACTGACATCGGTCGAACATCAATATCTAATCGATCAATCAAACTAATCAATACCAATATATACTGTGTCCAGAAAATAAGACCAATTTAATTTTTTTGCTTTTTCTAAAATCTATTTATTATTCTATTATATATTTCGTCGCCGTCAGAGTAATCTTCAAACTCAAAAAAATATTTCATATTAACAATTTTGCCATACGCGGTAGGCGGTAGGCGGTAGGCGGTAGGAATTCATAGTGCACAACACCATAATAATCGTAGAAAACTATTAACATGCTCTCGATTTTTTGAGTCTGCCGGTACTTGTGTCAGCTTTTGCTCGATATTCCCTTGATTGATGCGTTATTTGCGGGTCGTATGCGTAGATACAAGTTCCATCTCTTGCAGTAATGCATTTCACGACCGATTGATAATCAGAAATCATCTCCTCACATATGTTGTAAAAATCAAAAAAAATAAATAAATTCTTCTTGCGTCGTAACAAAACCAAACACAACTGCAACACTAATGACGCTTAAGCTGTGAAATTTGACATAAATGACTGTCATAGTAGTATCAATTTAAGAACAAATATTTGTGATATTCAATAGATCCGCGCAATTTAATCTTAATATTGGTCATACTTTTTGATCACAGTATTGTGCATGTAAGTACGTGCGGGAGTATGTGCAAGATTAATTTGCCCACCTGCTATAATGAGGCCATTATTTGTCAACTTGATTTCGCTGATATTTAATTCGTATCTATGACTATTTAGTCAAACAATTTTTTTTTTTTTTTTTGTTTTTATTCAAAGAACACTGAGTGAATATTATCAAGCGTAATTGTACAAAATTTCAAATTAATTCATGCAAATTGTTAAATATCACTTAGTAGCACAAATACCTACAAATATATATATTTATTAATAAGAAGCTCGGTTTTTTTTACTTCATTAATTTCATTCCACATATCATCGGCAGAGGTGTAAAACTTGTACTTTTCCATTCTCGGAATTTCAAAATATTTTTACTATATCTAATATGGTCTGCCTATGGTATCGGTTCCCAGGTACAAGGTCAAGCGATATCGAAGAGAAATTGAGTTAGCATCCAGCCAAAATCAAATCAAGGCGAGTAAGCATGACAGATAGTTAACAAGTTAATGATTTAAGCTACAAACTTTAGAAATTTTCCATCAGCTTTTATAATCCGTTTATCTAAATCTAACAATTGCATTGATTAATTGGCCTATTTGCAGCACGATGAAGTTAAGTAAGTTATATGCTAAGTTAAGTAAGCTTGCTGTTGCAGTTTGCAGCAATGAAAGGGAATAAAATTTTTCAATAACTTTATCGCAAAGAAATAATCATAAGACACTTATACTGAACTTTAATTACATATACATATGAAAATTCAGTTCTTAAAAAGCAAAATAAATGTAGTTTACCTTACCGTCCATCACTCCTTGCTTAAGGTTACCCTCTACAAATAATTCCAGTCAATTAAGTATGACAAGATAGACAAACATGCATAGCTTTTTGCATTTTTATATACAACAAAATAACGTTAATGTGTTTGTAATAATCACACACACTTGTGTTTGTTGATTTCAATTAAGCTTTATCTTTTGGGTCTGGGTTAGTAGACGAACAAGACGTCATCAAGTGCAGGCAAAAAAAAAAAAAAAAAAAAAAATTTTGAAAAAAAAAAACATACACATATATGTACATGTTTTCTTTTTTTTTTCTCTCTCTCTCTCTATTGCCAGAATTAAAGAGATTACATATTTGTCTCATTTACACGACAGTCGTTCACATAAAGCATAAAACAAAAACCCTTACAATTTCAACAGAGATCACGTACACATTGCTTGTGCTAGTGTTGGTAGTGTCAGTATGCCTCTACATTGTCGCTCTATTGCAAATATTTGAATATCTATTACGAATACTTTCACCATTTTCGTCACGACATGAATAGTAAAGCGAACCTTTTTGAAGAAGGAATTTAACTTGTAGAAACGTGTTCACAGAAGTCTTTTATTTCCCGCATCATAAAACCCTTTTCACTCGTACACGATTCCTTATTTGCCTATAGTAGATGGATTATGAATAATCTTAACGCTTATAAATAAGAACAAATCGTTTATTGGATAGAAAATTTTAGTTTCAATCAAGTTTTTGGTCGATTTGCTGCGTACCACGTCCGTCCATATACACACTGTGAGAAAGATCGGAGATCCCTGCCATAAACAGCATATATAGTGTTGCCCGTCCAGCAAATTAATTATTGATCTGGAATCAGGAAAAATTCGTCGTTGCATAAAATAAACAGTTCAACGGAAAAAGAAAAATCAATTAAATGCAATGGTGTTGTTTTAGGTAGAGTTGAAAACGGTTTTCCAACTTGAGTTCGGCGGCATTGAAAAGCAAAACGAATTCATCTTAAAGATTGCAATGTTTACTTCTTTTTTTTTGTATGTATGTATGAGAAAAATTGTCAGAAATATCAGGACTATTCTTCATGCTTCTAGTAGCGCCTGAATTATGCTTTGAAGCAATAACAACTACTATTTTAAGATTGGCTATCTATAGATCAAAGAAACCCATCCTTTGATATAGTTAGAGGAATGAAAATGCTGCTGACAAGGATCATGAGTCTTCGATTAAAAAGGGTAATATCATGAATACCATGAAACTTTGATAGCTTCCATTAAATATGTCCTAGTGGGAAATTTTCACAGTCCCGTTTTTTTTTTAGATAATATTCTCCATTGGTAGTTTCTTTGAGTTGAAGAGATATTCTAGCTTACGATTTCGCGTACTCTGCATTATAATTTTTTCCACTAATTCTATCCCTTATAGAGCATAAGATTGAAGAAGTATTTATACTCAGTTGCGCTGTTTACGCAATCCAGCAATTTTTCCTTCATTGTTAGGTAAACACGTATGAAAATGTAGCTTTCGCTGTTGTATGGCAAAAATGGCTGAATACAAACGCGAAAACTAACTTTTCGCTACGTGATTATAACTCTCTGCTTTCAGATCTGCTATTCACACATGTAGAGTCACTTGCCAACTTTTTTATCTCTGTCTATCTATCTATCTATCTATCTATCTATGTGTCTATCTCTCTCCATACCTGTGTCTCTCTTTATCTCTTTCTCTATCTATCTATCTATCTATCTATCTATCTATCTCTCTCTCTCTCTCCCTCTTTCTCTTTCTCTCTCTTTCTCAGTATTAATTCGAACTGCCCCGGATTTTATTACTTCTGAGCAATTCTTATTTTTCTCAATTATGTGGATACAATTACTTACTATACCGATATCGAATAGCAGGATTCGAAAATTTCCTTCATCGCTGTATTTATCTACTTTCCTTTAACCGGCAACTAAATGAAGATTATAGATATAACCTTATCGTTATTTCTTCTCTCAAGATTGTAGAAGAAACATTGCCGTCATTTTCCCTCGGAAGCTCATTCGGATTTCATTCGTTATCTATGACGCAAATTCCTATTAAAACTATCTATTACTCATTTTAGTTTCTTTTAGTTTAGTACATTTTGTTTTCCTTTACAATTTCAGCATGATTGCTGATGCTTGTCGACTTGGTCTAGAAGATGCCATGCCCTCGTATGATATATATGGCATTAATTTATGTTTTTTACTGTTCTGCTACAGTTATGCCGTATTTCTGATATTTGGTGCCGCAATATCTCAAGCGTTTGAAAGGCCAGGCGTCCTAATTTTAATCGAGCGCATCAAGAATTTAAACAATCAATTCGTAGAGGAAAATGCTTGCGTCAAGGGTGGGTATAGCGCACACCGCATAACAAAAAAATCATAAACTAACAAGAAGGCGATATTCGGTTGCACCTGAAACTTTTATACCCATTAACTTTCTCTGTCTCTCTCAAAACAAAAAAAATAAATAAATTTCGATTCTATTTAGCATTGACTGGGCGTGGCTGACTTGGTCCATTTGTGTAAAATTAACCACAGAATACATATGGAAATTGTGATATTATGCTTGGTGTAAAGCTGCGCTCTTCGTGGTTTACATTGCACAGTAGTCGTATCTTTTCCAACATTTTGCCCATTTCCATGTCAATCTGCGTGCAAAAATTCCCAGTCATTTTACAAAATTTAACGCCGACATCTTTGTTTTTGCGATCAGGGAGGTTTTTGCCGCAAACCGACCAGCAGGCGTACTGAAATCAATCCAACTGCTTATAACGTTTTCTTGACCTTGGTATCAGAAACCTTTGATTTAACATTCTTGATCACGAATATAACTTCGCCTTTGCTCATTCTAGGTCATTCGCTTTTAAAAGGTTAGAATACATGATTTTACTGATTCATAGTTTCGTAATCTGGCAACCCCGTTTTGATATTTAATAAAATTTACTCATGTCATCTCTAACCGTGTCATTTGTTTTGCTCGTTAGAACATTGAAGATTCAAAATGAAAGGCGGATCATTTTTGTTTTCTATTCTTGCCTCTTTTTAATAAATACGTAAGTGAAGTGAAATTTAAAAAAGAAACGAAAGAAATCCGATTTACTTTTGGTATTAGAAGTCTTCATTTGTAGTCAGCTACGTTCGTATAAGTAATTATACAGTAAAAAAATTTACAAGAATTATATTTAAAAAAAGAAAAAAAAAAAAAATGAGGGTTACGGGAAGAAGCCGAGCAAATCTACCGGAAAGCACTAACACTTACCGCCAAGCTGGAGCTGAATCCAATATTAATGACCAATCTTCGCCGGGGGGCTTGACTGGGCGCATTAGTATCGGTTCAATACGTTTGCTGCGGTCAATGCCTGATTACTGTTCTACCAATGCCTTTGAACGTCAAGATCATCATTTCTGTACACGTCTGCGTAAAGAACGCCTGTGGTTTTCATTCTTTATTTTATTCTATTTGGGATATCTAATTATCGGGGCGGTGACAATGCATATAATTGAAGTGCCCGTTGAGAAAGAGAAACGCCAAGATTTCTTCGAATTGCGTAACAATTTTCTTGAAATGTATCCGCAAGTTTTAGGTAAGTTTCGCGCACACAACTTATAGAGCCGAGCAATAAAATAAGAATAAAAAAAAAAAAACAAGCAAGGTAACGATATTCGCTAATTGAAAGCAGCGAACATTTCGAAAAATGTTCTTTTAATTTTTTGAATTAGTTTGTTAACCAATAGCACTAATAATATATTTGTAAAGTAATTAGCGAATCGTTGAATGAATAATAAGCACGAGAATCTCTCAACGAGCACAGAAAGAAATAAAGGGTGTAATCACATAATGTCTCTTCACCTAAAGTTTTCGACTAGAAATATATATGAAAATTGTGTTTCTTTCTTACTTAGCGAGACTTGGGAATTTTTTTTAATAAAAGAGAGAAACTTGCATCTTATAAAACGGTTTCTTATCATTTCTCATTTTACATGTCTTTGCCTGGCCTAGCCATAAGAGGAATGAAAAAAAAGTGCTATTGTACTTTTATGTTTCTGTGAAAGTTACTACCGAATTAAATATAGTATACCCAACTTTTTTTTACACGATCCTTAGAGATCAGTGCAAAAAAAATCATAAAACAAATACATAGGATAGATGGTAAATTTGGTAATAGCTTTTAAAAAATCGTGTAAAATGCCAAAGTTCTAAACATTTCCCTAAAAAATCGTGCAAAAAAAGTCATAATATTATCCATATTACATAGGACCAAACAATTCGTTTTTATCACAAAAAAAAAAATTAAAATTAATGTACAGTGAAGAGTGAGTCCAGATGTACATACAACATATAAAATTCGAAATGGAAATTAGGAATAAAACTCAATTTGCCAATTATTCATCGGTACTTGATCACAAGCGTGAACGATTATTACGAACTGATTTCAAACTGCTAGCATCAGTTGGGGTTGATTCAAATGTAGAATTTCGTTCGCTAACACACATGTGCACAGGCATAGATCGATCAACTTCTGATCGCAGTGTTGACTCAGTTATGTTTCGTTGCTGTGTATATAAATTTCTGTGAGAGACACTGTTAAAATAGAACAAAAAATTCCTTTAAAAAAAAAAATGTGTTTGCTCTCATCGGTAAATCGTGTTATTTCAAAAGCGTGTAAAAAAAGATTTACGTGTAACTAAAAGCTTTTCTGAAATTCGATCCAATTAATTAATGACGTTTTTCAAGATTATTTGATGATTTCTATATTTTTAGATGATCATTTGGAAGATTTTCTGGCCGCTGTTGTACAAGCGAAAGGCGCTGGTATATCCCCATTGCGCAATGACTCGCAAGATATTAATTGGACTTTTGGACAAGCAATTCTCTTTACAACCAGCGTAATAACCACAATTGGTAAGTCAATGCCTTACTTACCAAGCTTGCTAAGTTAAGAAAAACACATGCATTACTTTAATTACTTTTAAGGTTATGGCCATGTTAACCCATTAAGTGATGGCGGGAAAATATTCTGCATTATATTTGCTTCAATTGGCATACCATTGACGCTTGTACTGACAAGCGCTACCGTTGAGAAACTTCTACCCTTAGCAAATAAATTACTTTGCGCCCTTAACACTAAATTCGATCAAACTTTGGACCCAGTATATGTAAGAATGATACTTTTAACCATAATAGGTAAGCAATATAAAGCATAATCATAATAATAATAAATTTTATGATAGAAAAAAAGGAAAAGGAAAAAAACCGCTTTTTACTAACTTTCTGTTTTTATTTCGATTAAAGCATCCTTTGTTATCCTTTGTTGCTTTGTTATACCATCTGTAATATTTGCTCTTTTGGAACCTTCGTGGACTGGTCTGGATGCTTTCTATTTCTGTTTTATATCGTTAACAACAATCGGTCTCGGTGATTTTGTCCCAGAAGAAGCAGTCGCCGATGATTCTAATCTGTTTGTATTATATATGGTACTAGTATGCATGTACTTACTATTGAGTGAGTTTAAGATAAACTTTGCCCCTTAAAAATTAAACGTGTTATGATCGCAATTTTTCGCTTTAGGCCTAATTTCAATGATGTTCGTACTAACAATATTTTACGATATACCGCAAATGAATTTGACTCACTTGCTTACCGAAGGCGAATATAGCGAACCATTAGAAAGGCATTTAACCGGTCGATCTAGTACTTTTGAAGAATCACTTCCTTATCGTTCTTCTTCACCTCGACGCCCAAGAGTGCGCATAGCAGAAGGCTCAACCAGTTCTGAGAAATGATCAAAACGCTTATTACCGAATAATTCAAATAATTTAACTAATTCATATCCTGAGAAAATTGCAAATAAAACATCTACGTATAAAAGTAAAAATATATATAGAAAAAGGAAGAGAATTTTCTAATAGAGTCGCCATTGCTCTAACTCTTTTTTTTTTTTTTTTTGATATTGTGCAAATTTTCAAATTTATCAATGGCACCTATATTCAATCCATGACAAAATAAAGGCTTCGTACAGACGGAAGATAATTAATTTATTGTCGTTAGAATTATCTTAGTAGACGTTGTTGTAAAAAAAAAAAAAAAAAAAAAAAAAATTCGAAAGGCTGCGAATTCTGTTCACCATGCTTCCGTGCTAAAGTTTACTTATTTCGGTACAATTTCGTGAATCTGCAATTACAAAATTTAAGCAAAGCCGTCGGTATCACGTAAGCTGAGAGATCTCGGTCACTCAAAAGGAATAAAAAATTTATTTTTTAGCTCAATATTAATGTATGTTTGTATGAAAATGGGAAAAATAAACTACGCCTACCCAATATCAAAGTGTATCAAAATTGAATTTTTTTTTTTTTTCATACCTTTATACCGCACAGAAGCAAGCTTAAAATTCAAATTCGGAATGTACCTAAGCATGTCCGTCTATCTATTTGTCCGTGTGCCGAATTGTCTCGTATTTATCGTATACATTCACCCTTTCGCGAACAAGTTGTCGAATAGAAATTTTCAAAAGCGTTTCAAAGCGGCGCAAGCAGGTCACAGAATACATCTTTGTTTGCTGTGTCGTTTGCGCGTTGCTGATAAACTACAACGAATACATTATATAAGTTTTCACAAAATTATTCAATAAGACTGTCAAAAATCAGCCACGCCCCGTCAATATCATGAAATATGCAAATTTATATTTTTTCTTGTTTTCAGTCATCTATAGGATAACAATGATGGATATAAAGGATTCAATCGCAACCGAATTTTCTTACCTGCTTTTAATTTATATTCTTTTTTCCCAATTTACAAAAGCCATTGGTATCATTTTTTCACGCTTTCAAAAAGCTTTTAATGCTTTTTACAGAATAAAATTTATTAAACCCTTTTATTTTTTCTAATTCTGTAAAACGCATTACGCATCGCCAACCACTCAAGTCATTACTTGCTCGAGCGGTCTGATATCTTCAGGAAAGGGGAAGACCGATTCAACTTAATTGAAATAATAGAATGTAATAATAACAAAGATTATAAGTATAAAGCCAAGTATGCTTCATTCTTCACTCTTTTTTTTTTTACGCGGTAGATGTAATCCTTAGAGCAACGTGCAAGACGAAATCATATAAAAAATATATGCAACAGTTGATAGACTAGCGAATGTGTTGCATAACTTTAAAATGCAAAAACTCTAAATATTTTCCTAAGAACCGTGCAAAAAAAGTAATGATAAAATCCGTATTAAATATGTACAAAACAGAAAGGAAAAAAAGTAAAACTAACGTACAGTGAAAGTTCAGTTCATAGGGAAATAAAAATTAATTTCGCAAATAATTATCGCTACTTGATAACAAGCATGCACATTTATTACGGACTAGACCAAAAATCCTATCATCAGTAGAAGATCGATCAACTTTTTTTCCCTACAACAAAAGTACACTAAACTCTTATTATTGCCGACAGATTTTTATACAAAAATGTTGTTAAGTTTGCTTTAATTAATTTGAATTTATACATAAATTTTGCCATGTGTGCGTTCAGAAAAATATTTTTGCAAACAAAATGAAGAAAATCTAATCACTCATTGTACACACCCATAAACATATTGTGAAATGAATTTACATTTGACAGCTTCAAGGCTTTCAAGGCAAACAAATAATAATAGAAGTGTAATCAAAATAGAATACTTACAGAAAAGCTTAAAAAGAAAATGCCGATAGCTACAACACAGCTACTTGTTAACACTATCATATCATTTTACACATTACTACACAAACGTAAAAGCAGAAAACGAATAAAGTGTTTTCTTAAAAGATATGCATTTAATCATATATATAATGTTATAAAAATTAAAAGTATATACCGTTATATGTAAGCAATGCTCGAAAGAAATGTTTTTATTATGTAAAATTTAATTTAAAAATTTATTAAAGTCCTCATGTCAAGCAGTCTGTCATGCGATTTTTGCCAAACGAGCTTAAGAAAGATTTCTTTCTTTTACAGCATGCAAACCGCAGAGCAATCACACTATGAGATGGTCTGTTTGATTCAAATCTTAAAGCAAAAAAAAAAAAAATGCGATAGCAATCAAGTTTCTACAATAAGCTCAAGTCCCTAAATGGGTAAAATATGTAATCAGCACACTGGTTTGCCACTGGCATGCATGCAGCAAATTCCACGGCGATTGTCGACTCAACGAGATGCCGTAGTATCACTCATAATTCGTCGCATCATATTTTTCTTTTTTCATATAATTGCAGCCGAAAAACCCGATTGCCGCGTTCTTTTCTGCTTCTCTTCGACGCGTTATCATCAATTTTGGACGTTCGCAAACGGTCGACTAATCAAAATTTTAAATTTCTGCTCTTCCTTTATGATATTCTTTTAACAATGCTTGCATAAGTTTTTGAGTTCTGGTGGCCGTCGATTTGAAATTTTAATTTTTGCTATTATCATATTTGAACTTTTTTATGTTCAAATGTGTGTGCGCTTGATAAGTAATAAAATCATACTGAGACAGTAAATGCCGATATTTCACATCTCAAAACCGCAAGCCGCGTATGTACTTGGAAAATCGCAAAAGATATTTTAACGGAGTCGCAATGAATTTTGGTCCAGTCAGAGACAATCAATTTTTGGTTGCGTCATTTGGAAGACCTGTTTACATTGGGGCTAGGAAATACTTGCAGCTGGCTCCAACGTCCAATATTTCGTATATTGTTTGTCAGTTTTGGTCTGTTGTGGCGGGTATATTTATCGGTAGATAATTGAGTCATCGGATTCTATCTTTTCTCAATTTAGATACGATATCTGATCTCTTTAGCGCACACATAGATACATAGTAATGATAAGGAGACGGACGGAAGGGCTTAAATCGATACAAAAAATGACATTGCATCGATCATTATAATGAAAAGTAATTTTATGCCAAGTCTTTCTAATTGTTGAATATACCCATCGGTACAAGTTTATTATATATTTCCGAATGAAAAGCGTGCAATAATGTATAACGAATTTGATGATATGAGGCATTTATTTCGAAGGAGACCTAAGCGCAAAATTAGTAAATGGTAATATATATATAATATAATGTTTTCAAGTTTCTAAGGTTGTGTAGCTTATCGATACAATTAACATAGTTAACCCTAATTAATATGTAAATTGTTTTGCATATCTGTAAATGCACTTAAGCCACTTTCAAAATTAATGATATAACATTTTGCAGTTGTTCAAAAAACACACGTCCATAGGAAAAACAAATTCGTCGTGAAGTGAAAGGAAATGTATACACTTTTATTTGTTCAATATTAAAAATCATCATCAAGTCTTCTATATTATTTCCGGTAAATTGGCCATTTTTATGATCATATCACAGTTACATTTTTTAATTCTGGTTTGTCCTAAGCACATATCACTGCTGTAACGTGCTTTTTGTTTCTAGATCTTTCCAAGAAACATGATGCTAGTTCCTGTGAATCTCTGCATGCGACGTCTTATGAGAAAAAGCCAGATTTACGCTTTTAATAAGCTATGAAAATAGTTAACTCTGGGTAAGGCAGTGCTGTTTTCAAGTCGAATAAAAACACTAAATTAGTAATCAGGATTATGGCTATAAGTTATATTAAAATTATATACTTAATCATATAAAAATCATGCGGGTTCGTAAAATTCTATTCCATGGTATTCTCCACATCCGTATATTTGAAACTATTAGAATGGAGCTTATGTCACAGTTCAAAATAAACGTTTTATTAATCCATTATTTTGCAAAATTTTTGGTCGCCGCTTTCAAAATAAACGGCTCAGATACAGTAATCCTTCGGTTTTCGGTGTAAAGGAAGAACAAGAAATCAAAAATTCTGAATCTCAAAATTTGAATTTTATTCTCTTCCGCTTTCTTTTAAATAATATTTTGTTCACTTATTAAATTACATAACTTAAATTAAATATATATATATATATATACATACATACATATATATATATATATATATATATATATATATATATATAATATATATGTATAGTATATCTTGTAAGATTGTGTTTATTTCTTTCTTATATTTTCTTCTTCTTCTCCCTTTTTCTTTATTTAACTTTACTTTCTTCAAAAATTATTTCATTAAATGGCTCGCTTGATGCTTTCATTTATTTTATATATGTTATTAAGTAATTTATACGAACATGTTGACCTAACGGGATTTAAATAGATGCAGCATAAGCACTTTTCCAGGGATGAAAAACTTTTCATTTTAATATCCGTACAATTTTGAAAACAAAAAAAAAAAAAAAAAAAAAAAAAAAAAAAAAAAAAAAAAAAAAATAAATAATAATAATAATTGCTTCGCTTTAAAACTCACGACATAAAATCCACGGTATTCTTTTGACAAAATGAAAAGTACATTTATTTCATTATTGCTTAGCAATCAATAAAAACTAGCATTCATTTGATAGATGGAAATGATTTTACTAAAGTAGATGAACTCAAGTTAATCTTGCTCTGCTCTAAAGAATAAATGATCCGAGCAAATATCATCATTTGAACATCATATTATTGACATATCATTGAATGATTTCAATAACGTTTTGAATAATTTTTAGAAATTTTATTGATTTATTTTATTACATGGTTTTTTTTTTTTATTATTTTTTTTTTATTTATGCGCAAGATTTTTGAGGCTATAATTATATGAGTAAAGAAAGCTGCTGGTGGCATTTTAATTTTTATTTATTTATTATTCTTTTCCTACTGTTGTTAAATAATAAAATAATGTGATGCTTTGTTTATAATATTTCACCATTT